CTATGTGTGTAGCTTACAAACTGCTTTGATAAAGCTTTTTGTTCTCACCACTACTGATAGTTTCTACTACTTCCTCCGTTAATTCTCTGCCATCACTATAGCTTAGCACAGATCAAAACGCAAATAATGAAATCTTTAAGGTCTCCTGGCCCCCTTAATGGGAAGATGATCCGCGGATATTGTTGAATCTTTCCAGATGTAACTTAGCACTGGGAGGGGGGGGAATGGCATAAAAGCGTTTCATCAAATATTGATTTACAAGCGTTTCCAAGATTTGAAATGCTGAGTATCTGTTACTACATTGAAAGGGTTTGGATTACTGAGGGTTCTAATTATGCCGTATCATACTACTGTCAACTGTGGAAAAACTTTTATGATGAATTATCCTGGAGAGGGTGAGAAGAGCAAATGGGTGGAGACTTCACCAAAATCGCGCAGGGTTCCTAAGCACTCTTCTCCCGACAAAATTCTCACTTTGCATAGGATCATTGAGCAATGCAACGACTTGACTTAACCAGGTTTGCCAGTTTTCTCAGTTTGACAGCGAAATTTGATTCACTACATTGATCCATGGTGTAAAAAATTTTGAAATGCTATCGGATGCTTAAGCACTTCGTTTCCATTTTGGAGGAGATTTATGCAAGTATCATGTCTGCTTCAAAGTGAAGCATATCTATCTGATTGATTCCACATTAACTGTGCAGTTCGATAGCGGGATTATCTTTCCTTTCTTTGAACATTTTTTTTTCGACTTTATTCTTTGAAACGGTTCTGACCGTTGCAAAGACAAACTTCTTGTTCTGGCGGGTAATCACAGTTTACGATACCTAGCTGAATATCTTGTTGACGCGGAACACGCAGATGATATTGTCTTAGTGAGTATTCCAGGAAGCGGACTCCCTCACCAGAGAGCTCTGCATGTAACTCAACTGTGACAGCCGCCGTCTTCCTCAACACGTGGATGTCAAATGTTATAAAGAATTCATCCGGCACTACGGTAGATGTGGAAATTATGAAACGGAGGTTGGCCCTGTTCAAAATAAACTGATTGAGCAGAAGCCTTTCACTGCTTCCTATGATGTTTTCAAGTTGCAATCTAAACAAGAAAGAGGTCATCCGGGAATCCAGCATGCAACATGTACGAACAAAATAGATGCAGATCAGCTTTCGGAAAAAATATTTCTGTCTGCATCATCATCTTCCATCGCCGCTTCTCCTTTCGGGTCGCGGAGGCAGACGCGTCAGACAGTGCTTCCAA